CTAGGACCCAATTAAAAGTTAGCAGCACTATTTAGAGGAGATAATAATTAGAACATGAACTTTACATGTTCTCAATAAATAAAGACGTATCTTACCCAATTATTGGTCCACTATTTGTTATATCTACATCAATTATGTATAGTTGGTTAATTTTGTCAATATGTATATAGTTGGTTTTAGTTTAAATGTTAGGTTTTATCCTTCATATCAAGTGGTGAATATATATTTTTTTTTAAACGAGTGTTCATTTTATAACGTCACACATTCATATTTTAAGAATGCTTTCATTGTTTGATAATTGATGTAAAAATGTATATGTACAAATGTATGTATAATTCGTGTCAGGATATTGTTATACATCTATAAATGGAATACATATGGTTTATAAACTTTATAATTCGTCCTGAAAATGCCAAAAAGACAAACGGTGTATTAGAGAGAGAAAATACACCGCCACTTTTAAATCATGTTGCAACAAATCTTTTCTATTTCAAGTAACGGTTCATTTCACGCCTCAAAGACATGTCACCCAAGCCTTTGGGACGACACGCAGTTTCTACAAGGGTTTAAACAATGCCACGCATGTCGTTGAAAGCTTTCCCATATTAATGGGCCTAAAACAAGACCATATTTATAAGGAAGCCCAATAAATTCCAATTTTAAGTCGGCAGATATCCACAGTGTCTTTAAATAGAGACCGTAAACCCTCAGTCTCAGTCTCAGTCTCGCATTTATTTTATCTCTCTTAAACAATACGCGCGCGAGTCGAGAATTTCCTTTTAGGGTTATCTTCACAATCTCTCGCTTCGATTTCTATATCAGTTTCGAGTCTTTGGCCTGATATGAAACCTAGATTTGAGTCGGTCGAGAACTTTGGAGATGGAAACACAAATAGTACTGGCTTCAAAAAAGGTGCAACGAGAAGAGAAAAAGAATGAGAGATCCGTTGATAAAGATGAATTCTTCGCGAGCAAGCAAGTTTCCGATGAATCAGACGAATTTGAGACGACGAGTTGCTTGACAGACGAAAAAGGAGAAGGATATTTGTCTGATGCTGCTAGTCACGACAGTAACAAGAGGAGAAGGGAAGTTACGACTTGTGATGAATCAAAGCAGAGAAAGAAGCATAAACCAATCAAAGAATCTCGCTTGTTCGAGGATGATCAGCAAAAGAAGGATACTAATAACAAAGCAGCTAACGAGATTGATGATGAAGACATGAGCATAAAGTCGCAGATATCATATGGTGGAGATTGCTTTTTTCCTAGGGCTCAGTTTTTGTCTCAAGTCGGAACCTTTGCATTACCATATACAGTCCTGTTTTAAGTCTTCAATATTTCTTTTCTTCTTTCTCATCTTTATATAGCCTTTCCTGCGTTAGCTTGTACCACTTTGAACGATTGTAACAATCAGATTAATCCTTTTTTTTGTCTAACAATCAACTTAATCCTTTTATTGTGGACTTCTCGTGAAGCGAATCAACTTCTGCGTACCAATTTTGAAGAACGGGCCCGATGGGCCATTCCTCTTTCTCTCCACCTAGTTCAATTGGGTTTCAATTTGGGCTCTGTTACTAATTGTTTTAGAGTTGGTTTGTGTATATGGTATTACGCTTGCTTCAAATAAAAAAACTTGATTCAAAAGAAACATTTAGAAACAGTAACCTTAAGTTTGCAAGGAACTAACTTGTTAATATCAATGGAGAATACAAATTTTAAAGCAGGCTTGTCATAAAAACTTGGATAACATCAGAGACACATCCAGGCTGTAAAAACTCGAGTGGAATTTCAACGAGCTAACTAATACTAATGCAGCTGTATTACATGTTGCAAAACGTGAGGGCCAATTATAATTTAATATATATTATTTTTATATAACCTTATGGGAAGTAATCTTATATAGAAAACATGCATACATACATTAACAATACGATGTATACGTAATAACATCAGAGACACATCCAGGCTGTAACAAACAAAGATCAACTTCGTTGATGGTTTTGCTCAAAGTCTACTCCATTCGTGCACATTACCAGTTTTCCCTAATTAGACAAATATAATATCACATGTATGCGTGTATATATTATATTATATTCAAATGGTTCTTGGACGTTTCTTGATATATATATATATATATATATATATATATGAAATCTCGAATGATATATTAAAATAAAGGTTGCTGGGATTTGGAAAACTACGTCGCAGCCAACGGTTACTGTTTCTTGTTGGTTTCATATATCACCAGCCAAGCCGAGCCGAGAGGTTGCCGCATATAAAGCATTCTAGTCACTGAAAAAATGAAGTTTGCAAACTAAACCACGTCACCTTGTTAAATCAACTAATCAAGGGAATGCAAAAGAAACTATAGTAGGAAAGACTTCACAGGAAATGAAGAGAACAATATTGTATGTAGATCAAAAAGTCAGGAACAAATGTTATAGTTTTCAAGAACAACAACCAAAAAAAAAATATTAGGAAGAAGAGTGTTCGCAAATATATATATAAGTATTGATTTGTCATTTGTGTGTCGGAAGAAACTCAATCAAAACAGCTAGTTCCAGCCTGTATATATATTCGTCTATTGACTGACCTCTACGTGCACATACAGACATATATATATATATATGGTGAGAGTGTATTTATGAGAATTTGAGCTTTTCTGAACTATACATTGATTCATATGGCTTATAGCTCATCATCATCTGCTGCACACGTGCGCTCGACAAGCTGGTCCGAAGACGTTCATCCTCTATCCCGAGCCATTGAAGATCATCTTCTGATACTAACGCAAAAACCAGAGTCTGTTTGTCGGAAGCTTGGCGTTTTGAAGAGTATGTACGAGATTGTGGAAGTTTTCCTCCGTTTTCAAACGGCGAAAACGCAAAGAGCTTTCACCGATTTGGAAGATGTTTCAGACGGGTTTCTCGAGGTTCTTGATATCTGCAGCACGGTCAGAGACGTTCTGTTGCAGATAAAAGAACAAGTCAGGGAACTCGAATCAAGCTTGAGGAGGAGATTGATCAAAACCAAATCAGGAGGTGATCAAGAGGCTTTCTTGTCTCGTGAGATCGACGCGTACGTGTTTAAGAGAAGAGCGTTGAGCAGAACGATCGCCAAGAAATTGAAGAAAACAGAGGATAACACGAAGAGGAAGAAGAAGAATAGAGATTTTGGAGACGGCATTAATGTTATAAAGAAAGTTGAAGAGACTAGCTTTAATGTTTTGGTTTCTTTGTTGGTGGAAGTAGTGACGGCGAATCAGAGCGATCATAAGCAGAGAAGTGGAGGCATAGGAATTTTGTCGAGGATGTTTAATAAGAAGAATCAAGAAGTTGATGATGCAGAGGAGCTGAAGAAGTTGAGGGAAACAGAGAATAAGATTGAAGAAACAGAGAGAGAGTTGGAGTGTGTGTATAAAAAATTGTTGAAGACAAGAGTTTCTCTTCTTAACATGCTTACTCTTTGAAATTAAATCTCTGTATGTACTTTTTTAGTCGCTTCAGTTTTTGTGAATATTAGATTAGATTATCTGAATGCAATCACAAGCTTGAACACATCACTAAGTTATGAATTTGTAACACTACTCTATGAAAAAAAAACAAGCTTGATCATCACACTACTCTGTTTTCTCTTCAGAATTTGTTGGAAAAAAGGGGCGGTGAATTTGCGATAATGGGCTTATTAATTTGTGCTTAGTGGGCCGGGCGTTATTTTTGATGGGTCGGCTTGAAGAAACTGAGAGCTGATAATGCGGGAATAGCTAAGAAACTGCATAATAATGTCTAATCATGCTGTTGTTGACAACAAAAGTATATAATGCAAATGCATGATTGATTGATTCGTTATAACTTATAACTCGTAGCTATAACTTCCAGGCGGCAAATCGAATAATAAGATTTCTCCTCTAACGACTAGAATAAAATTAATTCATCAGAGATATGAATCTAACTATATATTATTTTTTTGGATTTGGGAAGATAATTTGTTGGAAATAACCTGAAAGCCCAACAATCTTAATAATCACAAAATCTGATATAGATGCATACGTGATAGGTCGAGACGTCAATGTTGTTAACTATTTAATACTTCAGTAACAATTAGATATATACATCGAAATTATCTAGGAAAATCTTTTCGTTTATTAACATTTTAATCCATATAAAAGGAGATATAAAGGAAGACGGTTGACAATGAGTTGAGGACCAAACGAAGAAAGTTGAAAAAAAACTATTTAAAAAAAAAAAAGATAATTTCATTTTTTATATAAGAAGAAAATAATTTATATACTGCCACACTGGCATATGATTATCTCTCTAGATGGAAAATAAAACGGAGTCTGTAACCACCGTTTAACTAACGGCACGACAGATAAGTAAACGGAGTCCGTAACCGCCGTTAATAACGTAGCGGCATGCGTTTTACACTTGGACTCCAGTGTTTTTTCTCGCGTATTATTATTATTATTTTTTCTCTCGTATTATTAATTTTCATAGGAGGGTAAAAACCGAAAATGTTCATGGTTTTAGTTGGAAGTGGTATAAAATTAGTATAAGAAACTTTTTGTTCTGATGTTAGATGATCTATAACTAATGATCTAGTATAACCGTATTACTTTGTGGTTTCAAGCTTTGATGAGCTCATTTATATATCGCTTGTATTAAATTAATACATAAACACGATCGGACGAACACGTAACACAGTATTTAAACTCTAATCTAAAATCGAAACATTTTTCATTTCATTTAATATTCGTCTCTTCAATTCCAAATTGCTGCAATTTACCGACACAGCCTGGCACCGTCGCTCGTGCATGCATGGTAACTTCAAACCAAATAATAAAACAAACACTTTGAAACTATATATTATAAAAGAGAATATCCAAACAAATCCACAATGTACCGTAACCCACGAGTGTCTTACGTATATAGAAGGTTCCTCCAGACATTTTTTTGATATTTTAAATCATTATTTTGATAATACCTCCAAAATGAGCTGTTCCCTAGATGTCCCACGTCCGTACAAAACCCAAATCAAGGATCCTTCGTCGTACTTTCCTTCAGATCCCTCTTCTTCACTCTATATAATCTCCCTCTCACACAAACATTCAATATATCTCTATTCTTCGCTTAAAAAATCTCAAAAGTTCTTAAGAACTGATTACAATTAGATCAAAAACTGCCTTTTAATTCAGTTATTTATTTTATTCCTAGCTAAAGATCTCGAAAAGATTAAGATCTTTATGGCTCATGAGATTAACTTCGAGAGTTTGAGGGAGCTACATGACTGCGCAAACTATCTCCTCGATTACTGCCCCAAAGCAAGAGAATCTCTGTCTGAACAAGGACAAGAGAAATGGACCGAACAAGTTTCAGAAGCTTCGTTGAGGATGTTAGACATCTGTAACGTATCCAAAGATGTGATGACGCTCGTGAAACACAGCTTGCAAGATCTACAACTGACTCTACGTGGCAACGAATCATCAGATGTCAACGAGAAGATCGCTGCGTATAATCGATATAAGAACAAGCTCAAGAAGGAGACACTCAAGTGCTTAAACTGTTTGAAGAACATGAAAGGAACCGGAGGAGGAAGAGTAGCGATGCCAACGGAACAGAGCCTTCTGTTCGTTGCGGAGGTTTTGAAGGAAGTGAAAAGAGTCGTTGTGACGATGGTTGAGTCTTTGTTCTCGCTTGGTTGTATTCCTTGGCTAGAGAAGCGATCGAGCATAGGGTCTTTGTCTTCCATCTTTACCATTCGATCTTCGTACTGGTTTGATGATACATGGGACGAGACCGCGGTTCAGAGCGCGACGACGAGGTTGGAAGCGGCGGAGATTGCTGTCGACGAGCTTGAGATAGAGTTGGAGTCTATTTCCCGGCGATTGATTCATACACGAGTTTCACTTCTTAATATTCTTACCAGCTAGATTTTTATTATATGTTCGGTTTGGTAAGGGTGCGTTGCAAGCTAGTGAACATTTTTAATTAACATTAGATTGATTTCCAAACTTATTGGGAGTTTGTAACACTATATTTATTCATTTACCCGTTTAGTACCGGCTAATGCGTTGGAAAATTAGGGTTAAAGGCTTTTAAGCGATCTAATATATTTTGTCTTCCAATAATCAAAATGGGTTTCTAGCTGATTTATACATATGACACATTTTTTTGAATATTCTTTGTAACTCGCACACTTAGAGATCTAACACCACGAACCTTGAGATTGTTGTTTTTTTTATTTCAAAAACATTTGTAGACAGCAAAAGAACATCAACAGGGAAGTGCAATCCAAAGTAGCAACTTAAAACAGAAGTTGCAAGTCTTACAAAGTTGTGTACAATAACAATTCACGTCTTCTTCACAGTTCTCTTTATTTCGACATATGAAGCTTAATATTAAAAAAAAAAGAGACGTTCATTTTTCGCCATGATCTTCAAAGTTACGATGAGACTCTGGCATCAAAAACCAAAAAGAGAAATTAGTGTCAATTAATTTGTGCAATGTTAATCAAAAGATTAATGCAAGGTGAATTCTAAGACATGAACATTGTTTCGCTAACTACAGGTTAAGAAGTGCTTCAACAAAGACAAACAGCAAAATAAGGGACACTGGCCTATTAACGATCTTTCAAAAGGCACTCCAGTGTCATTCACTTAACTTTTAAGAGTGTTAATGATTCACTATAGAGAATATAAATCAAGAACATCCTTTATAAACGTTAAAAAAGATCATCAACATTTTCACCATTTTGTACAAGTTAAATCTGGATCATAGCTACAAACTCTCTACATAACTAAACTACACACCATTTTAAAAAAGCTCTCGTTAGCAAGTGACAACTTAGTATTTCTAATCAACATCATGCATAGCATAGACATTAACGAACTGCTCCCTCATTACTTAGTACCACTTTACACAAGCGTTTAATAAGAAAAGGAATACACTTCTTCTATTTTCAATCTTTATTGAATAAGAACTTCAATGATTCCATCAACAGAGCTAATACAGACATTACCTAGTGATGATCCCCATGACCATGATCACCATGGCCATCCCACGGGTGCCTCCATCCCTATCAGTAGCCAAATAACAAGATCGCATTTAGGCACCATGGAAGAAGTAGAAATGACACAATCTAATCAAAAAGATAGAAACTTTACGATAGAGGAAACAGAGTCTTACCATGACTACGGGACCATCTTGCTTTGCTCTGTACAGAATCCAGAACCTGAAAACATCAAATATCGAGTTTTAAGATGTGAATGCCGGGAGAGAGAAAATAATATAGGTGACTGGTTCTTCAATCATTTTCATCGAAATGAAAATTGACATAACTCAATTCAAATCCACATCTACGTGATTGCCTCTGATACTACATCCATTAACAAAATTTTGATTCGCAAACAGAAAATCAATCGGATTCTAGATACGAGTTCGTCGGATGATCAATTAACCCATAATCCATCTAGCTTGGATCGAGATTTCTAAAAGAGAGAAAACAAATCGAAGCCGAGTCCCCAAAAGCAAAATCGAGGAGAGGTAGGAGAAATGTACCACATAACGGCGCACAAGCCCTTTCCGGTGACGGTGTGCCAAGTCTTGGGAGTGTGTACAGTGACTCCCTTGTAAGTTAAACCTCCGCCATGTCCTCCACCCATTTTCTCGAAACCCTAGATTCCCGATTCGCACTGCAATTTCAGACTCTTTCTCCTCCGATTTTGACAAAATGCTACCTGAGATTCGATCCAAGCATGTGACTCGTGACTTTCGATACATTCAGGCCTCAACTAGAAGGACTAGGCCCAATTAAAAAGACCAAAAGCCCATATCTACAAAAGTCCCACCTTTTTTTCGTTGCTTAAAATTTAAAACTAGGATGATATTGGGTTTCACGGTTAGTGTTTCAATATATTTTTCGGTTGATGTGTAATATTTGAGTCGAATGTATATGCATATAACACTGAATTGGACTCGTTTGCTTGTAATTAGGAAGATCTATCTTTACTTTAATTTCTATTGTGTTTTTGGTCTATTGTTATAATCAAAGAGGATGGATAATTCCCTCTGTGTGTTGTATTATCTTGAGGTTAAGCTAATGAAATTAATGGTCACAACAACAACAAAAGGACTCGTTTGCTTGAAATTAAGAAGTTTGGATTCATTAATTCGAAAGCTACGATCTTCCATAACTCATTTACTTAGTTAAACAAACTAGTGTAACTAATTTGTCCCAAATCTTTGTAAGATTATTAACCGTAAAAAAAAATAAGACTCAAAATCGAATAACAATACATTCCAATCATGAGATATTGATTTACAAGATCATGTTTCTACACAGAAACAAGAAAGAACAACCCTTCTGAACAAGAAAAAAAGAGAAGCTACCTACGATCGACACCATTTCTTCGATTTGATAACTCCAAATAGTTAGGAAACCAAAGAACGAAACTGGCTCTGACCACGAAATAGAGGTATTAGAGAAGAGATTGAAGCTCCCTTGCAAGTGCTCGTGGAACAAATCTCTGACTTGTCCACATCATCATAGTGATCGGACATACTTCTCCTCACAAGCATGATGATGTGATCCATTAAACTTCCATCGCAAGGAATCTGCAAAGGACCATCGATGGTAGTCCCAAACTCATCCTCAGCCATCTCCAGTAACACTTGTAAGATCGGGTGGTTGAGATACTCCAATGGCAAAACGAATCTCTTCCTTTCTTTGGTGTAAACAGTGAAGTGCCCTTTCTTCCTTTTTCTCCATTTCTCCATCAACTCCGAGAGTCTAATCCTCTTAGAATATAGTTTCTTCATATGTGTTACTTTGGCTCTGATGTTTTCGTTCTGATTATATTTGTATGCAACCATGATACTATATATATATATACTCAATGCTTGCCAAAACACTGAATTTAATACGTGTGGATGGAAAAGGGTGCTCGTGTTTATTTTAATTCACTTTTCTGCTGTTTTCTAAAATTTTCCACAATTTGGATCACGACCACTCGTGGAGATACGTACTGACTTTCTACAAATATCTAGAGATTTTCACCTTTTTAAACTCCTTATTTCCGTGCAAGAACATGAACTACGACTAAACTGCAAATTTTGTTATTAGTGACCTTTGTTCACCTTGTTAATGAACTTTGACCGAGCAATATCACCTTTTTAAGGGCTCACCCATGTGGTAATCTGAGTGAACCAGATATAGCTAAGCATATGTATTAGTAGCTAAGCTTACGTTATCTAATTTTGTATTAACATATCATAACAATACATATAATAGAAGCTATTATAGCATTATTCAAATATTCAAATCAAAATACTCTAGTGGTTGGGGAGGGCCAATGTGAGATGTAGTGGCGGTGATCGAAACATGTGAGCGTTCGTTTCGAGCAAGTTGCTTGCTACTTTTTTATTTTATAGTACTCTCTTTCACTTTCAAGAGTGTTCTTTTGTTTTCTATTTTCTAGTCACATGAAAATCCTGCAAACCATTCTTTTTAAAAGTTAGATGGCAAACTAATCACACAAAGATGCTTAAATAAACAAAATCTTCCGTGATCGTGCCAAGCAGAAAACAATGCAACCTCCATACTATTTCCCCTTCGCTTTTACCTCTAAACATGTCTGGTTTCAGAACCACTTTATACAGGAAAACAACTTTTTGAACCAACTTATGTTCCGAGTAACGTAGACAGAGCGATTACGTCCCAGAGTCAGGTTTCCTAACTCAGGTCAGGTCTCTCTTCTTCTATGGACAGAGCGGCGATGCGTCCCAGAGTCAGTCTGCGCCTAAATTTCATCTTCATTGATGCATATGGGTACGAGTTCGTTCCAGGGAACAGTTGAGTTTGGCTGCGTGAGAAGATAAAAGGTTTGGAAAAATGCTCAAAGTGTCCAGTCTTTACATAGAGAGAGGAAGAAGCATCCTTCGCTTCTTCTTCCTGGCTAGTCTCACTTGCTTTGTGATTTTCATAGAGACAAGTAATAGTAAGCTGACACAAACCAGGATGAATGCGAGTTCCAGCCGCCTGAAGTACAAGGATACTGCTGAAAACACCAGGAATGCTAAGATCACTAGTTCCCATATGACAAAGACCACGACATCGAACCTGGACCAAAGCAAACAAAACCAATACCATTAGTACCACGACAAAAATGTTCATGGAAATGGACTCAAATTCTACTATGAGATAAGAAAGGAAGTGTATGAAACACACCTACAAGCGCAAAAAATTTATAGTTCATGTCATGAAACTAGTCTAGATATAAAGCATAATCATAATTTGCATCTAAACAGCTGTATGTTATGGCGGAAATCGATTTCAGTTTCCATTGAGTAGCCTAAGACAGAAGTGGGTTATGGAAACTGAAGCCTATAGAACGCCTTTAATTTTAAAACTACACAATTATAACTCTATCTTCCAAAGAATGATGGGGTCAAAGCTATTGTTCAGGTCACAGAGCAACTAGATTGACTTACGAACTTGTTTATATAGAGAAAATTATATAAAACCTTCAAGCTGGATAAGAAAAATTTAAACACATACTTGCTGATAGAGACACAAAGAAAAATCAAATTAAGAAACCTCCGGGGTGAAACCATCTGGGTTACTCAATTTAGAAATTTCTTCGGATAATGGATGACCAAATCTCTCCATTGACAGATGAAAATGATGGTACAACGAGGATCGATATCCAAGTTAAGTAAGTGTGATCGAAACAATAGTTCCCTGTGAAGAATTTACATAGAAATGTAACCTAGATGCATTCATACCCAATGTTCTAGGTCAAACCTTAACGATGGTGTTGGATGATCTATGAGAAAATTTGTAGATTCCAATTAAATTGAATATCACAAATTCCAAAATTTCAATGCGATAAAATATAATGCCTTGAAACGAACACAACTCTCTGCACGCAGCTCCAGAGAAAATAAAAAAAGCATAAGCTGCAGATCTTAAAATCGTGATTGAGTAGTTCTCTAACCTGGACGAAGAGAAATTCGAGGTGGAAGAGAAGAAAGAAACGGAGGCCCAATCATGCTTTGATCTAATCTGATATTCCCTCAGCTGCTCAGCTAGATTCGATCTCGTTATCATCTTCTTCCTCGCCTTCTCCAAATCTCTCCACCAAGGCCTTCTTTTCTTTCTCGATCCCCACTCTCTCTCAACCTCCCGGAATCGACGGAAAGCTCAAGAGGCGTCGGAGAAACAGGAGAAATCTGAGGCAAGCATATATCGAGAATCCAGAAATACACCAACGGAAAGATATTCGCGAGAAGGAAATTATTCGTGTTAAAATTCACAGCGACGAAACGATGTTCGATTCGTTGGGTTACGGCGATCGTTGGCGTGGACTCTCTCTCTCTCTCTCTCCGTGTCAATAATCGTCGGGTCGGGTAATAGATCCGACTTGTACTCACAGGCCCATGTAATGGGTGTTGGGCCCTTGGAAGGTAATCGTCAAGGCTCTACTTTAGTCCTTAACAGTAAGCTGATGATATATCCACTACTTTAATACTTTACTCACAGGCCCATGTTCAGCTATAATTTGAAGCTTTTTTCTGACGGTCGATTTAAAATATAAAAATAAAGAAAATTTTAAAATTTAGCAATCAATTCTCGGGTCCCATCCAAATAAAGTGGGTGGTAAATATCGTTGAATATTCCCGATTTGACAATAATAAGGCAGATATCACGTCCACAGAACTCAGACGGGCGGTGAAAAGCTGAAATAGACAAAGGATTATAACAACCGAATGATGCAATTAAGCACTTAAGCAGTTTTTTTGTTTGTTTAATTAATTCATAAATTTGGAACTTCAGGTTTAGTATTTAAAAACTATATATATATATAACAAGATAATTATGTATTATCACAAAAATGTCGGTTGCAAGTTGTCGTTTCGCTATCATCGAAAACATAATTCAAAGAATAAGAACAAGAAAAAAGACGACCAAGTAAGAATTGAAAAAGATTGGTACCTTGTTTGATATGCGTGTTGGTATGTCACGGTTCGTGATACGTGTTGTTGATAAAATTTTGAGACGAGATCGAGAGACTACGAATGATGTGGCACGTCGTGTTCAATCCTTTAATCGAACACGGTTCATTGTTATTTTAGCCTTTTAAGCGAATTTGATTATGCATTCCTGATTAACATCTGTCCTTTGTAATTATCTTAGTTGTGTTTCTCGCATAGGTCGAAAATGACATCCCACACATTAGCATATGTCACCTATCTTTAGAAACTCAAGTAATCGCATGCTCATTAGTTTACTCTTGATATCATTATCTGTATCAAGTATATATTTAAAAATGCATTTTAGCATATCGGTTTACGTTAAAAAGTATACACATCTGATGTTTTGTTTATCCATAGTTTTATCAGAACATACACAAATATTGAATTTGTCGGTTTGGTTTATTTTCGATTATAACGTTCCAATTTCCCATGTTTATGTATTTACAAATTCTAAGATCAATCCTAAAAAAAACATTTTTTCAAAATTCATAAGTTTCCTGAAGCTTCTTCCAACGTGGCGCCAGTCAATAAGTCAAGTGGACCCACACCACCGACATCACGTCTTTTACGCCAATCAGTACACGTTTTTGGGACCTACGCAGGACAAACTCCCACGTTATATTAACACGTGTCGACTCTCGATTGCTTAGTATCACTTTTCTCTCTGTCTCCCTTTTTTTTTCTTTGTCTACATTCGTCTTTCCATTTTCTGAACGTTAGTTTGCCGCTACTAACGTCCGTCGTCCGATTTTACACTAATGCTCGACACGTGTCTTACATCTATGGTGAATTAAAGTGTTAAGTACTACTCTCTCTTTTCATTTTTTTAACCCAATAATTTGGAATGTGCAATTTTAACCCCTATCATTTTCTATCTCCATTAAAACTTCCCGAAACTTCAAGACTTTGTTTAAACTGTTTAAATTTGATAATTATAAAATTTATAAATAGTAAAAGCCTAGATCAAACAGTTATGCCCAAACCACTTAGTTCTTGATGTAGTATCGTTACCGTTGGATGTCTCTCACCTTCACGTGTTCGACAAGCAACTTCTTTAATTGAGTTTTTTTTTATTTTCTTTTAACTTAGGATAAGGTTTCCGAGATAAACTTAAATCTTCTTAGAGATAACTTTTATAGATGCGACCTGATCGCCCTAACTTCTATTTATTTGTCTTCTCCGTTGTTGTAAACGACGATTTGGATTATTGATTTGGTTTTATAATAAAGAGCTTTCGAGTGCTGAGAAGAGCATTCTCAAACCTCTGTTTTCTGAACTGCAAAACAGAGTCCGTCCCTTTCTTCCTGCAGCTTCCGCCCCCTATCAGTTGGTATCAGACTAGTACGTTCCTGTGCTGTCATCGATCCTTCACGATGCCTCTGAAAAACAACAACAATCGTCCGATTGGTGAAACACAAGCCCCTCCCGTGGATTTGGCAGAGTTGCGTGCGACACTACTAGCTATGCAAGAGAATATCCAATCAACGATACATGCTTCGATTCAGGAGATGAGCGATGCCATATGTACTCGTTTAGATGCTCGCAACCCAGCTCGCGTAGCACACAACGGTGACAATCCTTTTGGTCGACGTAACAACGGCGAATATGATTCGGACTATGAAGAAGACGAAGACCATCGGCGTGTACGTCACGTCGATAACCGTTGGGAAGCGGGGTTCAAAGTGGATATCCCAGAATTTCATGGTGGTGTCAAAGGCGATTCCTTAATTGATTGGATCAATGCTGTTAACGAAACCCTGGACTTCAAAGGTGTCCCCAATGACAGACGTGTCCCTCTTGTGGCGACAAAATTTCGTAACCACGCTGCATCGTGGTGGCAACAGCTGAAAGCAAGTCGCGCTCACAACGGCAAAGATGCTATCCGCTCGTGGGATAAACTTAAACGCCACTTGCGTAAGACTTTTCTACCCCAAAATTATGACCGTACGATATATACACGTCTTCAGAATTTGAAACAAGGGTCGCGGTCGGTGGACGATTACGCAGACGAGTTTTATTTGTTGATAACTCGAAACGAGATTCATGATAGCGAACTGCAAATCATTTCTCGCTTCATTGGAGGGCTTCGTCCTCAACTCCAGAATGCGCTGGCTCAATTCGACCCCGTGATGGTAGCAGAAGTACATCGTCGAGCTGCATCCTTCGAACAGCAATTCAGATCTTCGACCTGGGCTTCACAACCCGTGAAACCTCGCGCATCTGATCAAGTGTCGGGTCCCGCGACCCACACTTCACGTAAAGAAGGAGAGGGTTCGCGACAACACAACGTTGGTGACGATCTGCACCTTCGACGTTCTACACGACCGAATGCTCTGCGATGCTTTGCTTGTGGAGAACAGGGGCACAGGCAAACTGTGTGTCCGAAGAATTCGCGCAAAAACCTACTCCTTGAGGACTCCCGTGACGTGTCTGAACCAATTTATGATTCTCATGACGAAGACAATGGTGAGACCGAGGCTTCTTTCACCCCCACTCATGGGGATACGGGTACCCTGATGGTGTTGAAACGATCGTGTTTGGTGCCTCCAAGTCGCGGAGATTTGTGGCTACGGACTAACATTTTTAAGTCCACTTGCACTATCCTTGGAAAGATCTGTTCCTTTATAATAGATTCTGGCAGCTCGCGTAACGTCATCGCTTAAGAAGCCGTATTTCGACTTGGCCTGGCCTACGAGCGTCACCCAGCACCGTATGCGTTGACATGGGTTCAGGATGGTGTTGCCGTACATGTTACGCATCGAGCACTTGTTTCGCTCTCTATTGGTCCTCATTACAAGGATCGCTTCTACTGTGACATCGCTCCGATGGATGTCAGCCATCTCATTCTCGGGCGCCCTTGGGAGTTTGATCGTAAGATTGTTCATGATGGCGCAAAGAACACTTATAGCTTCATCTGGGAAACTCACCAAATCATGTTACTACCCTCACGCGAGCAATGGTCAAAACAACCAACGCACAATCACCCTTCCTTGCCACCAACGCCATCTCCACCTCCGTCACTTACGCCGTTGTTGTGTTCATTTGACAAGTTTCATGAGGAGTTCAAGCAAGAAGGATTCATGTTTATTATTTTATCATCCGCTACCACTGTCATCTCTCCACAACCATCACAACGTTTTGCCAAAGTTTTGGGGGATTTTGCTGATGTTTTCCCTACCGAGTTGCCACGACGTTTACCTCCTCTTCGTGATATCCAACACCAAATAGACCTGGTACCCGGTGCAACGCTTCCGAATCGCCCTCATTATCGGATGAGTCCCACTGAGCATGAAGAACTTCGCCGTCAGGTTGAGGAACTACTTCGTAAAGGACACATTCGTGAGAGTCTAAGTCCCTGCGCAGTTCCAGCCCTGCTTATTCCAAAGAAAGATGGCTCTTGGAGAATGTGCGTCGATAGTCGCGCTATCAACAAGATCACCGTTCGTTATCGATTTCCCATCCCTCGCCTAGATGACTTGTTGGATCAAATTGGAGCGGCTTCTATCTTCTCTAAGATTGATCTGAAAAGTGGCTACCACCAGATCCGAATTCGTCCTGGCGACGAATGGAAGACAGCGTTTAAAACACGCGAGGGATTATTCGAATGGTTGGTTATGTCGTTTGGACTTTCAAATGCTCCCAGCACATTTATGCGGGTCATGAACCAGGCTTTACGACCATTCATTGGGAAGTTTGTGGTTGTATATTTTGATGACATACTCATTTTCAGTTCTTCCACCACAGAGCACGAGCGACACCTTCGGGAAGTGTTAAGCGTCTTGCGCAAAGAACAGTTCTTTGCAGGACATCAAAAGTGTGAGTTCGGCTTATCTCAAGTACTATTCTTGGGATATGTGGTTTCTGATAAAGGTTTAGCGGTGGATCCATCTAAAATAGAAGCGGTGAAATCATGGCCTTCGCCGCGTACGACCACTGAAGTTCGAAGTTTCCACGGCCTTGCCTCGTTTTATAGACGTTTCGTCCCTCACTTCAGTACTATTATGGCGCCTATTACAAGTTGCATGCGTGATGGAAAGTTCAGTTGGCCTCCCGAGGCAGAGCAAGCTTTTGTCCTTATCAAAGAGAAACTCACGACAACTCCTGTCTTGGTGCTCCCAGATTTTTCGATTCCATTCGAGCTTCATTGCGATGCGTCAAAGTTGGGTATAGGAGCTGTTTTGAGTCAGTTTAGCCGACCAGTCGCTTACTTTAGTGAAAAACTTTCCGGCGCTAGGGGACGTTACAGCACTTATGATGTGGAGTTTTACGCAATTGTCCAAGCGATCAAGCATTGGCGACATTACCTGGTCCATCGTGAGTTCGTATTGTTCACAGATCACGATGCGCTACGCCATCTTGACAGCCAGGCTAAAGTCTCTTCTCGCCATGCTAATTGGATCGCGTTTCTGCAGCAGTTCACCTTCTCGATCCGTCATCGTTTTGGCAAGCTGAACAAAGCCGCAGATGCGTTGAGTAGACGCCATTCGACACTTACGACGTTACAGACTTCGTTAACAGGTTTTGAAACATTTTCAGAGTTGTACATTTCAGACCCATACTTTGCTCGTGTGTTGGAAGATTTAGACATGGGTGTAGGATCCAAGTTTACTCGCCAAGAAGGGTTTCTGTTCTTAGGCCTTCGTTTGTACATTCCGGAGTGCAGTTGGCGTCTCAAGATAATTAGTGAACTGCACAATGAGGGTCATGTTGGTCGCGACAGAACACTTCATTTGGTCACCTCGTCTTACTATTGGCCTACGTTACGAAAGGAGGTTGAAAGATTTGTTTCACGGTGCCGCGTTTGTCAATTGGGAAAAGGATCCGCATCAAATGCAGGCTTATACATGCCACTTCCAGTTCCGCAGCAATCCTGGTCGCACATCAGTATGGATTTTGTCCTTGGCTTACCTCGTACGCAACGAGGGAATGATTCCATTTTCGTAATCGTAGATTGATTCTCGAAAATGGCTCACTTCGTGGCGTGCAAAAAGACAGCCGATGCTTTGCATGTCGCCTCTCTGTTTTTCAAAGAGATCTATCGTTTACATGGCCTCCCGACGTCTATTGTGTCCGATCGCGATTCGCGATTCCTTGGCCACTTTTGGCGCTCCCTTTGGAAGTTGTTGCGTACTTCTCTCGATATGAGCACCGCCTACCATCCTCAATCGGATGGCCAGACTGAAGTCACAAATCGTTCTGTGGGGAATCTCCTTCGTTGCCTTGTGGGTGATAACGTTAAGAGTTGGGATGTGCATCTCTGTCAGGCCGAGTTTGCCCACAACCACGCTGTAAATCGCAGTTCGGGTTACAGCTCTTTCCATGTGGTGTATGGTATAGTTCCTCGGAGTCCTCTCGATCTTGTCGCTTACCCAGATAAAACACGATTACAGGGACAAGCGGTGGATTTTGTGGAGGAATTGCAGGAGGTTCATCGTCAAACTAAGGAAAATCTGGAACTGGCGAATGCAAAATACAAGGCTGCAGCTGATGCCAAGCATCGTGTCTTACGTTTCGAACCCGGCGATCTTGTTTGGGCTGTTATTACTAAGGATCGCATGCCTTCTCATGAGTATAATAAGCTCAAATCGCGTAAGTTAGGCCCTGTCGAGGTTGTTGAGCGGATTAACGATAATGCGTATCGACTCCGTCTTCCACCGCACATGCGTACCGCCGATGTGTTCAATGTCAAGCATCTCTCACCATTTCGTGGCGACAATCCAGAGCAAGATTCAGGGGCGAATCTTTTCAAACAAGGAGGGACCTGATGTAGCATCGTTACCGTTGGATGTCTCTCACCTTCACGTGTTCGACAAGCAACTTCTTTAATTGAGTTTTCTTTTATTTTCTTTTAACTTAGGATAAGGTTTTCGAGATAAACTTAAATCTTCTTAGAGATAACTTTTATAGATGCGACCTGATCGCCCTAACTTCAATTTATTTGTCTTCTCCATTGTTGTAAACGACGATTTGGATTATTGATTTGGTTTTATAATAAAGAGCTTTCGAGCGCTGAGAAGAGCATTCTCAAACCTCTGTTTTCTGAACTGCAAAACAGAATCCGTCCCTTTCTTCCTGCAGCTTCCACCCCCTATCAGTTCTCAATTTAGTTTTTTAATTTCGCAACTCTATCTAATTACCATTCTTATCCAATATATTTGTTATTTGATTATAATTATCCGCTAAAATGATAAACTAGAATGGTCTCCGATCACGTAAGCAAACTTTCGAGGGTTAATTAATGAATTCTTCTCAATTGAGTGATAACCTTTTCTAATTATCCCATTAAATTAAGCTAGAAGAGAATGTTAATTACGTGGTGATGAAGAGAAGAGGCCATAAAAAGGGAAAAAAAATATGGGACCATTTAGCAATTTATCAAATCTTATCTAGTTTTAATTGTTCTTTAAAGGATCAAAGAGCGTGAAATGCGCGTTGGATTGGGACCCCTCACGCTATAAAACGCACTTTCTCTCGTCTCATTTCTCACCGTCTCTTAGAAATCTTCTCAAGTATCAACAGCTTTTGAATTTAAAGTATACTTTGATCATTTCATATTCTCATTAATCCGATCAAACTTCTTTCCATAGCTATGGCCGAGGAAAACAAGCACGTTGCTGAGCAAGAGGTCCCGAAGGTAGCGACGGAGGAATCATCGGCGGCGACGGGAGAGGTTACGGATCGTGGATTGTTCGATTTCTTGGGGAAGAAGAAAGAGGAAACAAAACCAGAGGGGACAATCGACTCAGAGTTCGAGCAAAAGGTTCATATTTCGGAGCCGGCGCCGGAGGTTAAACACGACGAAGAAGAGAAGAAGCATAGTCTCCTTGAGAAGCTTCACCGAAGTGACAGCTCTTCAAGCTCCGTAAGTTTAGATCCGATCAATAAAAATGAAAATAACATATGTGTATATTGCGTTAGATCTGATCTGTTGATGATAACAAGAACCTGATCGAATAAATTATATGGATTTGGCTTTTGACAGTCAAGCGAGGAAGAAGGTGAAGATGGTGAGAAGAGGAAGAAGAATAAGAAGGATAAGAAGAAGGATAAGAAGAAGACAACTACCACTACTGAAGGAGAGGTGAAAACAGAGGAGGAGAAGAAAGGGTTTATGGATAAGCTAAAGGAGAAGCTTCCAGGACACGGAAAGAAGCCGGAAGATGCCTCACCTGTCGCCGCCGCACCTGTTGTTGTTCCTCCGGTGGAGGAAGTGCATCCGGCGGAGAAGAAGGGTATCTTGGAGAAGATTAAGGAGAAGCTTCCAGGATACCATCCCAAGACCGGTGAGGAAGAGAAGAAGAAGGAATCCGACTAAGAAAAAAATAGCAAAAAAAGATGATCATTAAAAATATGAATAATGATGATGAAAGATTTGCTTTGTTTTTGTGATGAATGGTGATCATAATTTGCTTTTGGTGCTGTGGAAGTTTGTTGGCTTTTATTTTGTTGATTACAGTTTTCCTATTTTCTTTTTGTTATGTTTGTATATGATTTTCAAGGTATTTTAATGGTATGAATGTTTTCATTAAAGATATTTGGACTTGGAGTTGTTCACATTACTTAAGCTGTGGTGTTACCTATATCGCTCTGGATCCTTGGTTTACTAGATTCGTGCTATAGAGAGTTTCGTTAGGACAAAGATTTGATCTCTATGTCCAAAATCTCCAGTTGTTGCAATTAGACCTACATGACCCCAACCTCACAATTGTGTTTTTTCATTATAATCCAAGTTCACCTTTATGAAATTGAATGCGATGGTATACAAGAAAAATGATTTGTCACTATCATGACTCGTTGTGATTGATTTGGTGCTCGACATAATTACTTAAATTGTATAAAGTGAATTAATTAAGATACTTTTATACATTAACATAAATATTCTGTTAGTTTTGACAAGAACAAATGAAATCCCATCAATGGACCACATCCTCAATGTTCTGTAAGTTTATCAATTAGGACAGAAAGTCTCGAGTATAATACAAAGTATCAAAATTTCAAAGAATATCATATCAATTTATGCAAAACTGACAAAATCATGGTTAAACTTTACCTTTATGATTTATTTACCTTCTTCAATTTGTGATTACTCGTGTACCAAAACCTCTTTAACCGATAGTCACTCACATTTTTCAAACAAATTGTTTCAAAGTCAGCTTTACCAATTTCAGATTCTTTAACTTTATTGATTTGCAATGACTGTTAAAGTAATTGCAAACGGAAAACTTGTTCTCATTTTTACGGATGTTTGGATTTCACCTGTTTATTCACTCAGTGTCTGGTTTCATTTTGGGCCCTTCAAGCATCAGATTTTTCCACAAGTTGGGCCACTCTTATGACTTTAAAACACCTAAGTCCTGCTGGATGACTTGTGCGTGACTCTCACGGATCCTGCAACTTCTTGGGTTCACCAAAACCCATTGTTATTCTCCAAGTGAATTTTGGTTTTGCCTTACTCTGTATTAATTTACTTTGTCTAATTGTATTTGAAGGCATATACAATATTTGTTTTCTATTGTCAGCGTTGCGTTTGAAACGCGTATGTAATGATATATGCGTGTCTGCGTCTGGTGCGTCTTCTTCTACATTTAGGCATTGTATAAGGTCAAATGATTCGAAGAACCAAATCTCTCATCCTCACAGTTGACTTCTAAACGCACAATGGGTTCGTCGGGGCCACGGAGCTCTGCCGGTTCCATCTCCGGGAAAGATCCGGCGAATGCCTTAGGTGCTTTAGCGTCCGGGTTTGTGGATAACGTAAAGAGAAACAAGCACAGCTTCATCCAGCATTTTTTCGCTGAATTTGTTTGATTTTCTTTTACAGCAAAGAGACAAACTAGATACTTCATCTTCCATGTCATTATATTAAGACCAGTTTAGTTTCAAATGATTTGAATGGTAAAATTACTACTACTATTCTCGTTTTCTTGTGTAAAGCAGATAGTACTGCGCATTTACAACAGAAAACAACAAAAACTTGTGTTCAGCTTTTAGTAGCACGGCACAAATTGGGCCTTTTGGTACTGGTACGCATCAATGTAATCCTGACCAGATCCAAACAATGTTCAGGGAAACCGATATACGATGTCGTTTCAGGTTCTAACCACTGCATTATGAAGTGGAATGTTGTCCACACATGGAACACCTAATCCATGTTCCTTATTACATTTACAGTCACTGTTATAGAGAATTAACGCGTTTTGTATCTTTTTGGTATTATATTTTGTTCTTTCGCTTTTTTCTTTTGTATTATTGTGATCTTCCTTTTCAAGTGTTGTCATTTACTATAGTTTTATACAGGCCTATCAAGATCAACTTTTATTCCGTAACTATTATTAACATGGCATTGGACCCCACGGCTCTTTTCAAATTACTCTGGCGCGTCGATACCTCTCACCCACTGATAATTTTCTTGTAGCAAAATCTTTTCTATTTAAGAAATTAAAATGTTCTTTTTTGTTCACTTTACCTTAATTTTTGGACAGTTGATTTGATAAAAAGTGCTAATGAATGACCCGCACAAGAAAAGAAGTGGGTTTATTAGCGAAAAATCCGGAGATATAAACGCATGTCCGGTTAATATTTTACTTTTTGATAAGTACACGTAATGTTTTCCGTCCGATTACTTTTTTGGACCCTTCTTCAATTTTTTTCGTTTTCACTATGAGTTTAGATTCACTCAAAGCCAAAAACTGAGAATTTTAAGTGAAGAGAAAGCCTCTGACCAGAAGAAATACGAAGGCAGTGAAAAACGAATAACCAACGAAAAGCCAAATACATTAATACTGAGCTTCCAAAACAAATTTGATAATGCAACCAAGAATGGGGGCCCTTTTTCATCTTCGTGTAGCTTTAAAGGACATACACAACTAAAAAGGGATAAAAAACGATATTATTATTCCATACTCGAATAATTGAGGGAGGCATATAAATTACTTTCGATAGTGTATTTACTTTGTAGCTCCTTTTTTCTATTATCTTCGTATCGAAGTTTCATGTTTTTTTGCCAAACATTTCGAAGTTTTTAATTTTTAGTTTTCGCGGTTGATTGGGTTGTCTAAGTTTTTTGGTTTAATTGTTAAATCATTGCACTAGGAATCTTGCATATACAGTATGTTATTTTTGTCTACGGTTCCAGATTTCGAAGATCTTACTGATTCATTATCTTAGTTATTTAAGTTAAGTGAAACATTTTACACACAAAAAGTCATTTATACAAATTCACAAACCAAATTATAGTAAAAATATTTTAATTATTTTACCTTTGATTTATTATCAAAGAATCCATACTTTTTAACTTTTTTTTTTATGTATACAACAAAAGTTTATAAGTTTTATTGGTAATAGCTGTAGTTTTACATTTTTTTGATGTAGATATGACTATAATTTTTTTTTTTGCTGTAATTATAGATTTTTTTTTCTAAATTTTAACTATAAAATTATAAAATTTAGAAAGTATAAAATTATGTGTTTTAAAAAAAAATGTTTTGTACAATAACAAAAATATTTTAGCTGTAAATAAATAGAAAAAATATAATTTATATAGAATGATTGATATGATTTAAAATTGTAAATATAAATATTACTATACACAACATATACAGTAACACAAATCAAACTTTGTATAGAGTGTAATCTTATAAGATAGCAACAAAATCTAACGTGTCACTCGTATTAATAAATTACCACAGATTTCTTACTTTAAAAACAGTCATTATTTAGCTGTCTAAAAAAGAAACAGCCAACAATTAACTAATATATTGATGATTGAAAAAAGAAAAATCAATTTGTTAATCCTATCACCCAAAGTTTTACCACAAATAATCCGATTGTCCTAACATTTTTTCTTTTTGTAAATTGTTTCTAACTAAAACCGAAAAAACCATTAATTGTTTTGAGGGCACAAAACATATAAAAATGGCCAATTTGCTTAGCCATGTGGATTGTGGGAGGCAAATCCAGATTTCAAAGTAACACAGAGTCGCTCGTGGGTCCAGCCACCGACACTGACCTTTGTTTTCTTCTCTTTTTATTCATTTCCTCTACTTCCTCTCTCTCTCACTATTTACTGTAAACTCTTTAAAAATACGTGCCGTATCCTCTCTCTATAAATCTAGACTTAAATCTGTTTGTGAGAGAGAGAGAGAAAGAGAGATCACGCCAACATTACTTTACTTCATACACCGGTTTCAGAAAAATGGCGGCCAATGCCTCATACGCCGCCGCATTAATCATCGGCTTTTCGCTTCTCTTCGCCGTCATCGCGGAAGATCCGTACAGATTCTTCGTATGGAACGTCACGTACGGTGATATCTACCCACTCGGCGTTCGTCAACAGGTAACAAAATCTCTTACTATTAGTTCATGTATTTCCGGTTCGACTTTTTAGATCCGGTTTTTAAAAATCATTCGGATCTCGCATTTTCCGGTTTAGGGTATTCTGATCAACGGGGCGTTCCCGGGACCGGACATTCACTCTGTTACAAACGACAATCTCATCATCAACGTCTTCAATAGCCTCGACGAACCTTTCCTCCTTTCATGGTAAATAATATTTTCCTTTTGTGTCCTTATTCGTAATCCAAAGCATTTGCAAATCTGCATTAACAATATGTTAATTATATGTTTAGCTATCTTTAACAGTCTGTCGTTGTCGATTGCTAGTAGTTGCTAGGCCTAGTCGGCTAGTAGTTTTATTTTTGCTTGTGAATAGTATTATCGCTTTATTTTTCTTAATGTGACGTAGAAAAAACGTGCGTAAAAATAAAAAAAACTGTGGTACGTAAAGGAATTTGTTTGGCCACACCTTATGTCGGACTCGGTCCACGTAATTATTATTTACCCACCTACGATATGATTATTTGGGTGTTTGGGGTTGAATTCAATTAAAACACATTATTAAATAATTATCTGATTGACCAACAGTGACTACACATTTTAAGACATTTACATGTGGAAGAAAATGGGTCCACTTTACCGAATTATTAGCTGTATCCTCTCCATTTTCCACTTACACTCCTTGTCAGGGGGTTAGATTAACAATTCGTAAAACTTTTGGGGGTAAAATATGAATAATGTTAAAATAATGTGGTCAACGCAGGAATGGGATTCAACAGAGGAGGAACTCGTTCGTGGACGGAGTGTACGGAACGACTTGCCCAATCCCGCCGGGAGGGAACTACACTTACATTCTTCAGGTGAAGGATCAGATCGGAAGTTTCTACTACTTCCCTTCCCTCGCTTTCCACAAAGCCGCCGGAGGATTTGGAGGCATCCGTATCCTCAGCCGCCCTAGGATTCCCGTCCCCTTCGCAGATCCCGCCGGAGATTACACCGTCCTCATCGGCGACTGGTACAAATCCAATCACACCGTAAGTGTATTGATTGTGTTTGGAATTCGCCCGATTTGAAGAAATTCCATGTACATTCTAGTTATGTGTGCGATCTCGTTTCTGTAGGATTTGAGGGCACATCTCGATAGTGGTAAGAAGCTTCCTTTACCAGATGGTATCCTCATCAATGGCCGTGGAAGTGGCGCCACTCTCAATGTTGAACAAGGTTTTTGCCCCTTTCTGCTTCTTCATTTGGTAATGAGTTTTAATGGTGTTAAGCTTATGATGTGAGTTCTTACTCTTCTTCATCTTCTTCCTCAGGCAAGACGTACAGGCTGAGAATATCCAATGTAGGGTTACAAGGTTCGCTCAACTTCCGCATCCAGAACCACAAGATGAAGGTGGTCGAAGTCGAAGGGACTCACACTCTTCAGACTACCTTCTCTTCGCTCGATGTTCACGTTGGCCAGTCTTACTCGGTGCTTATAACCGCGGACCAGCCTGCTCATGACTATTACGTCGTGGTCTCTTCTCGGTTTACCTCACCTGTCCTCACCACCACTGGTGTTCTCCGTTACAGTAACTCCGCCGGTGGCGTTTCTGGACCTATCCCAGGTGGACCCACCATACAGATCGACTGGTCCTTGAACCAGGCTCGAGCCATCAGGTATCTTCCTCATCATACGTTAGAGGAAGCTCTTTAGTTTCTTTCTGTGAAATGATTCGTTTGATTTGGCTGCTTGTGCTTACTTTCTGTACTAGACATCTGATTTTTGGTTTTGTTATTGTTCTTTGTCTTGTAGGACTAACCTTACAGCGAGTGGACCAAGGCCGAATCCACAAGGATCGTATCACTACGGTATGATAAACACCACAAGAACGATCAGGCTTGCTAGCTCTGCTGGTCAGGTGAACGGGAAGCAACGATACGCTGTGAACAGTGTGTCGTTTAAACCAGCAGACACTCCTCTGAAGCTCGCGGACTACTTCAAGATCGACGGCGTTTACAGGGTCGGGAGCATTCAGAGCCAGCCCAACGGCGGAGGAATATACCTCGACACATCTGTTTTGCAAGCTGATTACAGAGCCTTTGTGGAGATTGTTTTCGAAAACTCTGAGGATATTGTCCAGAGCTGGCATCTTGACGGTTACTCTTTCTGGGTTGTTGGGTTAGTGTTATCTCTTCTTTTTTTTTTTTTTTTTCTTGAAACATCAAACATTCATGCTTTGCATCCACAAGATCCACACATTGTAAGCAAATGGTAATATTCTTTCTTAGATTGCTGGACTAAAAGATGGTCTTTTGATACAGAATGGACGGTGGGCAATGGAGTTCTGACAGTAGGAACGGGTACAATCTACGCGATGCAGTCGCTCGCTGCACCGTTCAGGTAACCACAGCGAAAATCTAAACATGTTTTTTTTTTTGGCATATGCGAACCGTTGGATTAATATTCATGTTACAGGTGTATCCGAGTTCATGGACGGCCATATACATAGCACTGGACAACGTAGGTATGTGGAACCTGAGATCCGAGTTTTGGGCAAGGCAATACTTAGGACAACAGTTCTATCTTCGTGTCTACACAACCTCGACTTCACTCAGAGATGAATACCCAATCCCCAAGAACGCGCTTCTGTGCGGTAGGGCTGCCGGTCGTCGCACCAGACCGCTTTGAGTGGCGGTCAGATAGAGAGAGAGAGAGGGAGACGAGAGAGATGAGTGAATGGTCAGCCAAACTAGCTGACTCGTTTTCGAGGGGTGTTTGTTGTTTGATTCATTCTTATGGTAAAATCGGTATATCAGTTTGTAACGATCTCAGCTCGAGGTCTCGATTCTTATTCTTTCCTTTTTTTTCTAATCTCTGAAGGGAAACTTTATTCGATATAATAATAAAGTTATAGTTAATTTCATCGTAAAACCTTATTAACAAATTCAAAACACACCAACTTCTTTAGTGCATACTACCGTACCAAATGTGCAAGGTTGTGCATTACCAAACAGGCCAGCTTCAAATTACTGATAATTGCAGACAAATTAACAGTAGCGCATGGGTTCGGAAGTAAGAAACAAAAAGGGGCATTCCGAGAATCGAACTCGGGACCTCTCGCACCCAAAGCGAGAATCATACCACTAGACCAAATGCCCATTATAATGTATGTTCTGATACAAGTTTTAGGACCGTACTCAATAGTTTAATTAGTGAAATTTAGACAAACAATCCGACATAAACCGATCTTTTCGTTCTTCTTTAGTTTGGAAAGTGCGTACCGCATTTGAAACTTTGAAATTCTTATTAGTAAATGGGTTTGACAACAAAGAAAATTAATCCTATCTTGTGTGTTGGCGCATCGGGATTTGAATTTTTAATGTGATTGCAGAAAGCGACACCGTTTGACATATTTATAGCAAGCGTCTTATCTAAAAACATTAAACACGGAAGAGGGAAAAACTCAGCAGCAGGAGGAGAACACTGATCGTGATCGGAGATGGCGGCTAGCGATTCTGAATTCAATCCTGATCTACTTCTCGCTCACAAGCTTCCCGAGGTGTGTTTTCGTTTTTTCATCCGTATTGATCCGATCAAATCTTCCGTGAGCTTGAATGTAATCTCACCCTCATTTTTGATCGCGGTTTTTGTTCTTTTCTGGTTTTGGTCGCAGACGCGTTACACCTACAACGAAAGGTTCGGGTCTTCTCTCTTGATTTTGATTTAATTTTCGGGATTGGCGATGGATGATGGAGAAAACGATTGAAAAAGCGAGGGACATTAGGGAAATTTAATATATAAGGAGCAGATTTGTGAAAGAAGTTGATTAATTACTTGTGTGAACAGAGATGTAGCAATCTATGCTTTGGGAATCGGCGCTTGTGGCCAAGATGCTGTTGATTCGGATGAGCTGAAGTATGTATATCACAAAAATGGACAGGAGTTTATCCAGGTATCTCAGTGATTGATCTGGATTTGGTTTTTGATGTCTCTGTTTATTTTAAGGAGTAAATCAATGTTATTTGCTTTAAATTATAGGTTCTACCAACTTTTGCTTCACTATTGTCACTTGGATCTCTGACAGAAGGACTGGAATTGCCAGGTTTTAAGTAAGCACAATAATCTGTTTTTGTCTTTGTTGAGGTTTTGCATTATAATTTAAGACATGGAAGATGTAAATTGAAATAATGAGACCGACATTATGAATGTTGTTGTCTGCAGATATGATCCTAGTCTTCTGTTGCATGGACAGCAGTACATAGAAGTATACAAGCCATTACCTTCCAAGGCATCTGTAAGTGTATATATATAACATACATGTTTTAGTTGAGATAAGTTCTGTGGTTCTTCCCCATTTGATTGTAAGATTTGCTCTAGAAATAGTACTCTTGTATTAGAGATCTAGAATTTTCCTTCTTCATTTGTATATCTAGAGTGGTCTTTGCTTCATTGTTCTGAATTGATGGTGTTTGTGTTGACGCAGTTAATTAACAAAGTTAGCCTAGCTGGATTGCAGGATAAAGGTAATTGTACTGTGGGTGGATTAATTTGGTCTTTTTTGTTTTATGCATTCAGCATTGACATTGGTAGATTATTTAAGGCATTTAAGATTGACCTTTTTGTATTCTCTCTCATGGCAATCTTCCAGGTAAAGCAGCTATTCTTGAAATTGAAACCAGAAGTTACGAGAAAGGTTCAGGGGAACTGTTATGCATGAATAGGTAAAATGGTTCTGGAATTAGCTAATCTGGGAGGCTTTCGCTTGGAAAATTGTGAGCTAACTTGAGACTTGGCTGTGCAGGACGACTGTATTTTTACGAGGAGCTGGTGGTTTCTCAAATTCATCTCAACCATTTTCTTACAAAAATTATCCAAGTAGCCAGGGCTTAGCTGTGAAAATCCCCCAAACACAACCTACAGCAGTGTGCGAAGAGCGCACCCAACCATCACAGGCATGTTGGTTATCATGTAAAAACTTGTTTGGATTTGTTTTGTGATGTGTTTGGCAAACCAGTTTTAAATTTCGTTGAGGTGTACTTGGCTATCTTTTCTTAAGTTTTTTATGTTCCCTTTGACGCCGACTTATGTATATTATCTGACCCTCTGGTTTATATTTGCCTGCAGGCATTGCTTTATAGGCTCTCTGGTGACTATAATCCTCTGCATTCAGATCCAAACGTTGCCAAATTTGCCGGGTTAGTAAACCAGCTGCTCATTGAGATCATACTATCCCAGTTTGCTATTTTCCTTATAGCATCCACACGTTTTATATTCAAAAATTCCAGAGGATAAAACCACAAACGACTTTGGCTACATTTTTTTCTTCAAGAAATGAATCTTAAGTTTCCATTATAACTCTTAAGCTATTAATACTTGTTTTTTCAACTTGTGCTGAAGATTCCCGCGCCCAATATTGCATGGACTTTGCACGCTTGGGTTTGCAATTAAGGCAGTCATCAAGTGTGTTTGCAAGGGTGACCCATCTGCTGTGAAAACAATATCTGGACGATTCCTCACTACTGTTTTTCCTGGCGAAACTCTCGTAACTGAGATGTGGCTTCAAGGCTTGAGGTAAAAAATTTGTTTATGTTTCTCTATCTCTCTTACATTGTTCATTGGCAATATTGGATAATATAAGCAAAACCTGAACTTAGCTTTTCATGTATCCACAGGGTTATATATCAGACGAAAGTGAAGGAAAGGAACAAAGCCGTGTTATCTGGTTATGTTGATATTCGCGGTTTATCTTCGTCACTCTAAAAGTTTTATGTCCCTAAGGGCTGTCACGAACTCACGATATTGCAAAGGCAACAAACATTACATTTCTCAGGACTCTTGATGTTTGCGTGTCGTAAACAGCCATAAATAATACTTTGTAACTCTTGATGCTTGTATTTGTACGATTGGTAACACAATAAAAATTGTGGAATGGCTAAAAAAATTAAGCTGCAGAATCGTGGAATACAGAATAGTGGAATGCAGAATAGTAGAATAATTAATTTAATATGATTGGATAAATTATGCAGTAGAATAACATAAAATATATAAAATTAATTTTTTATAATAATATATATTATATATAATTTAATATAAGAAAAATTAAAATATTAGTTATTATAAAAAATAATTTTAATATAATTAAAAAAAATTAAAATTTTTTATTATAATTATTTTTTTTTTTTTTTTTTTTATTTACTATAAAATATATAACTATATTGCAATATTTAATCTATAAATATAATCAGATCATTATATAAATATATGTAGTATAAATATATTTATTTAAATAATAAAATATAATTAGTTATATAATTGATGATATAAAATATTGATTCAACAAATAAACTATCTGAAATACACTTTTTCATTTAATCAAAAGAACTTGAGTTTTGACTTTTTTCTGATTGGCAAAATTCTTATAAAATTAAGTTTTTCCTCTATTTCACAAGCTTCATATTTCTGTTCAAATGAACTAGAAAGCTTTGTTGTCTTAATTCATGCCACGAGTCGCTTAACTAAAAATCAAGTCATTACTGACTCCGAAGACCATAATATTTGGGTGTCAAAATGAACTGAATCATAAATCTTGAATGAAAAAAAAACAGAAAAATGCGTCAAAAACTGTGTTTGTTTGAACAGAACAAATTGAGAAAGATCTGTGGTGCTTGTAGGGTAAAGGGATCTCTTGTTTTTTTTCACTCTGTCCATGAAGCATTCACCATCTTCGCCATGAACGAATATCTATCAGCCGCTTCATTAATCTGTTGAACATCTCAAATTCAGTTAGCCATGGAAAAAAATAAAATATATGTTATATAACGTAAAGAGTAGTAACCAACGAGAATTTTGTCATTACCATCTTTTTGGTTGGGAGACCAGCTCCGTGGCCGGCATTGACTTCTATACGACCAATTATGGGGTTTGTCTGTGGACTATTCTCTAAGCTTGTGCACAGCACGTGTTGCATTGTCTGCACATGTATACGAGTTTTTGCATTACAGACTCCTTACGAAAACAAGCCAAAGTTAAAATTAAATATAATAAAAAGGTGTGGAAACGGACCGCAAGCAACTTCAAAGAGTGAAGTGGCACAACTCTGTCATCGTGATCAGCTGTCAGTAACATGGTTGATGGGTACTGAACCAAATTATCGGTTTGCTGCTCCCATGGCCTCTTCACATTGTGCAGAGGCGAGTACCTTTTACATTCACACCCATATTTTTAACTTTGTATCAGCAATGGGATACAAATGAGCATAACATCAGATATAATATATATATCAAAACTTAACAGACTCACTTTATCAGCCAATGAAACTCCTCTTCATTCTCGGAGCAACCAAAGTCAGAAGTCCAGGCATGGCCTATGCATACATACATCTCCTTGAGTTATAAATACATTAAAGGCACAGAAAAAATGAGAGTGGAGATAACTAAACTCACCTATGGTGAATTTGTGAAACCGTAGCATATCCATGACCCCCACGTGAGCTAAAGCACAACCAAAAAGGTCTGGCCTCTGCACAGAATTAAAATCTTTTTGTCTAAGTGTGGCAACTAAATAAAATGAAGATCGCAAAACTATTAGCTTTATATGCATCTGTATAGAGTATGAGACTTACCTGATTTATGCAAGCACCGATAAGGAGTCCACCATTACTGCCACCTTCGATACACAACTTGCTCGGTTGTGTATAACCAGTAGACACGAGATACTCTGCCCCAGAAATGAAGTCATCGAAGCAGTTCTGCTTTTTGGCAAGTGAACCGGCTTTGTGCCATTCCTCCCCATACTCACCACCACCCCGAATGTTGGCAAAGCAGAAAACAACACCAAGATGCTTGCTAAGCACAATGCGACTTGCACTGAAAGACGGTGTTATGCTTATGTTAAACCCACCATATCCATAGAGCAAACATGGATGTGATCCATCTAGCTTGATATCCTTTTTTGCCACAATAAACATTGGTATCTTTGTTCCATCGTTGCTAGGATAGAAGACCTATACAGAGGAGGAAAAACCAAACTTTAACATACGCAAAGGAAAAATAATTATGAAAGAAATAGGAAGATGCTACAAGAGAGTGTTTTACCTGAGTGGCTTGAAACGCTTCCCTGTCAAATCCGGGAACAACGACCTCCCGGAATACCTTAACTTCTGGAGATTCATTGGCTAAGTCACACTTGTAAATCACACCCGGAGTGAGGAAGCTAGTAAAGCTAAAGAAAAAGGTGCTGTCCTCGCGCCGAGCAGAAACATCAGATACTGCACCAATATCTAAAGGTAATTGGTGAAGCAAAGAACCAGATTTCAAGTCCCTGATTTGCAGAATGTGCTTCACATCGCTCATATAGCACGCGACCAGTTGATCCCCATTGACTGCACAAGCTGATGCTAGGACATCCTTCTCGTGCTCTTCAACAACATCAGTCCAAGTATTTGGTTCCTTTAGATCAACCTGGACTAATTTGTACTTAGGGGCGTCTTTATTTGTCACGAAAGTAAAGAGAGTGTCATCATTTGAGATAACACCATATTGCGCGTCAAATGTGTCAACAAGCTTAATGAATGGTAAAAAACTGCTGGTTCCTCTGAAACTCTCAAGACCTCCTGAAAGTGAAGACATATCGCAGTAGTATAATTTGTTGACAGGGTCACAACTCTCTCCAATGCTCAGGATTAGATACTGCATGATGTAACAACATGATAAAATTTAAATCGAACCCAAAACTAATAACTGAAAGTCCAGATAAAGAATCAGGGATCTGCGAAATCACGCAACAAGTTACTTTAAAGCCATGACCATTCAAAAAAAAAAAAGGAAAAAGGAACAAAATGGTTTTGTGACAGAATTTATAGGAAAAAAAAGTGAGATTTTAACAGAGCTTAATCAGAGTTAAAGAATCCGAGATAAGAACTGGTTGTGTTACCTTCCCATCGTCAGTGACTTCAGCTCCGAACATATACTTGGGATTCTCATGATCTCTCCAGCATAAGATATCTTGAGATTGATCTGTCCCAAGGAAATGGTAATACAGCTCATGATACAGGTTAGAACTAGTTTCGGTACCAGCATCGATATCCTCTCCTTCCCTGCAGAAGAAAAACAAATCAAATGTGCAGAGCAGCTAAGCATTCTAAACTATATTAAAAGGCTTCTTCTAACACATCTCTTAAGCCAGAAACTATAAATTGACTTACTTGGGGGCAGGGTAGCGACAGTAGAAAAACCCGTTACTATCGTGCGTCCATGTAATCACGCTGAACTTAACCTGTTCCACAAAAGAATCATGAATATATATATTCACAATGCTTGTTGTTAAAACTTTACTGATCAATGCCACTAAACACCATACCCATGATAAAGTATCAGGCTCCACTTTCTTATCCTCGATCTTGATCAATTTAACAGTCACCCAGTCGCTACCACTTGAACTAAGACCATAGGCCAGATACTTAGCATCCTCGCTGACAGAAAAGGTGTTCATGGACACTGTTCCATCGTCACTAAGTGTATTCGGATCAAGCAAGACCTCTGGCTCAGCATCCAGATCATCCTGAACACGATAGCTATCAATGAGAAAAACAAAACTCGAGCAGAGTTTTTTTTAAAAAGATGGCTAAGTACTGATACAAAAAAGCCATGTGTCTCAAGTCAACAAGCACCTGCATATACAGCACACTCTGGGCTTGTAGGCCGGTGTTATGGAAGTAAAAGTACTTATTCCCTCGCCTGAACGGTGAATCGTAACGCGGATGATCAAAAAGCTTTGTTATGTTCTGACGTAGCTTTTCCTTCGTTTCGCACTTTCCGAGCACAGACTCTGTCAATTTCACTTGGTTCTCGACAAATTCCTTCACTTCCTCTGCATCAGGATCCTCCAACCTAGCGAAAACAAATCCAGAATGACAAAAACTCAACGAGAGATTTCAAAAAAGGATACGAAGCATAGCAAAAAAAACTAATAAATCAGACGAGCTATCGAGCAAATCAGGAGTTTATCTTAAAAGTCAATCTCTAAGTCAAATCCAAATTGCTTCAGAGCGATATGCAGTAATAATTCAACACGTAAATGAAGGAGAGAGATCGAAGCTGAAAACGAACTCTTACCAACGATACGGATCTTCGATTTTGACGCCGTGATAATCCTCGACGACGGAATCATCACGCCGGGCCAAGGGATACTGCAATCGCTCGCCTAGCACCGAAAGTGATCCCATGATCGCAGAGCTCGGACGGGAAGAAGAAGACGACGAACAAAAACGAGAACCAGGCTCCGGTCGATTGGAGAAGAAGGTCTCGTTGCTGAGGAGAAGAGAAGAGAGATAAGAAGAAGAGTGGCGTAAGGTGTTATTTATACGGAGACGACGCGTGCAGCGGAAAATGGTAACAAACGCGAAGATCTGTGAAGGCGCGTGAGGTGCAAACACTGTGAGCATCGACCTTCTCGGGAAGGAGTGTCAAAATTCAAAATGGTTTCGTCTTTCGTGGTTCTAATCAATAGTAATCAATATGTATGGATATGATACCAAAACTGAATCAAATACTAGTATTTATCTAGGTCTGTGATTGGCTAAGGATCTTTATAATAAATCTTATTATATACACTACTATTTGGGTTTAGAGTAAATTAATTGGAAAAACGAACTTTCTTCCTGTGGAATATTTGATCCCATCTGTATGTCACGTCTCATCCAGTCATTCTCATGTGTGGATCAGCTTGGAAAGTGTTTTGAATAAATTGTTAAGCTGGTTTAA